TCTGTCGTGCCTTCATGGAAGGCTGGGTTGCCCATTTTGGATGTCCCGCAACTGTCACTACCGACCGCGGACAACAATTCGAATCCACAAGCTTCAAAGAATTGTTAGAGATGCTGGGATGCAAACGCATTCGCACAACCGCGTATCATCCCGCGGCAAATGGCCTAGTAGAACGTTTCCACCGTCAACTCAAAGCTGCGTTGATGGCAGTGGACAACAGTAAGTGGACAGATTCGCTACCACTGGTCCTGCTTAGCATCCGGGCTACGCTTAAGGGGGATCTGCAGTGCTCGCCAGCTGAATTGGTGTACGGTACCACCATGCGTTTACCAGGCGAGCTAATCGCTCCCGAAACTTTCGAGCCAAATTTCCCGGATACCACCCGTTACGCTCAGCAACTTAAAAGTTTTATGCAGCGACTCCGACCAGTTTCCACACGCACTCAGAACCGAAAGGTTCAGGTTGATCGGCGACTTGATGACTGTACACACGTTTTCGTGCGTCACGACGCCATACGAAAGCCATTACAACCACCGTATGACGGGCCTTTTAAGGTCCTTAGTCGTAAAGATAAATTTTTCGTTATTGACCGATGCGGCCGCCCAGACACTGTCAGCATAGACAGACTTAAAGCGGCATACACTGAAGAACCTTCACCCTCCCCATCGGCTCAATCAAATAGCCCCACTGAACCTAGTCCTTGTCCAGACTCAACTACCTCACCTCCAGTGGTGAATGATGATTTTCCTACCGTCACCAGTAAGACCCATGTCACACGTGCTGGTCGACGTGTTCACTGGCCCAAGAGGTTCGTAGAATTCTTTCACTGAACTAATCCATAGGTAATGCTACTAGTGATTTTTTATTCCTTGTCAAAATTTCTAATTCAATTCTGCTATATTTAATCTATTTGGTCCCGCTTCTGGGAGTAGTCGTTTTAACCCTCACTAATCCTTTTAATCTTTATCTCTCGTTACAGAGGACCAGCAGCAGTTTGTTTTTACCCCTAATTTTTCATCCATTTCATCTCAATCTACTCGCTAGATCAGTTGGCTTCTCATGTCATCTTGTAACCCACACCAAAAGAGGAATTATGAACAGTATATTACCTTTCACTGCCCATTTTCTTCCAAAAAAAATTAATTATTATTAAAAACGTAGCGAGAGCTGGGCATTAACGGTTTATGAGACGTGATTGGCATGTATATTAAAGCGCATAGCGTGTGATTAATCGGTTGTTGCGTAATCCTCCAGAACTTTATAGGATGCAGTGGGGTACTGGTTGGTTAGCCAGAGTTACTCAATATTATTTTGACCTCTGTGATTGTAAAATTTCTCGATTAAGGACAAAGTAGCCCATCCGAAACAGACTAATTATGTTATTCCGAATATTTATATTCCATGAGCGAATGATTCGTGATCTTCTCCGCTCCACCTAGATTCAGACGCTGGTTCACATTCACATTAAATTACACAGTTTATGATCCGGGATTTTAGCGAAGAGTTTGGTTTATGGACACAGTTGTTAAACGTGGGGAAGAAATTGGGTTTGTTTTAGCCACTCCTATCTTGTAAACGAGACTCCTACACATAGTTTCACTTTCTCTTTCACGCATCACAGAATATCTTTACAGAACAGAATATACGGACAAATCACCCGAGAACATACATTGGCGTTTCACTGTTACATGTACCAAGTTTTTATCTATTGATTTTGCATGGTTAGTGAATTACTCTTAAGCATGTTGTGAAATCGTTTATTGCTTTAACTAGCGTCTTCCATCCTTTTTCGCACTTCAGGGCCTCCCCAAAGTGAAGGCACAAGCACGTGTTCGCCCATCAGAGCCAGGTAGTATCCTATCGGGTAAACTATTCGTTGTGATTCTTCAAATCGTTTTTTTATCATCTTAATCAAGTGTTCCCTGCTGTTCCAATGATTGAGTTTCCTTTTGAAGTTATTGCGCGAATTACCAATAGATGACTTGTAATTTTGTAAAAGTCTAAGGGTGTTAATGAACTTTTATTTCTGAATACACTGCGGTGGTAGGTGAAGTATTCATCATTCAATATATAAAGAAAGCCTACAAGTGAGAAGGAAGATGTGGATCCTACTTTGTTGATCGTTTTATCCTTCAGAATTCCTTAATCAGCTTATGTGGAACATACCAACTCCAGGACGGGGTATACTACGACATATGGGACACTCATGACTGATGACGCAAATATCCCACCTATCTTAATCTACCTTGACATATACTACAATTCTGCTGTAACTTTTGTTATCACCTATATCACAGCTCGTGTCGTTCTCCCATTTGTCCTAGCTTCTGTTAGGTGCGTATAAGCCCTGATATCATACTTACTCTCAAACCTCTTACCCCACATTTGATTTATTTGGTCGAGTTATCCCTTAGGTTCCCTCTCACATACGTCGTTAATCTGTCCGACCGGTAACCCAACTAACATTTTCAGATACCAGCAATGCCACAGTCGTTTTTCACATCATCCATTACCCGAAATAACGTAATGTAACCTCTCTTGTTGTGTTTCAGAAAGCCTCACCATACCACGGAATAGAATACATGGAAACTTAAAAGAGTTCTAAGGCCCTTCGCAAGGATTAAGAGTGTGCTGCAAGTAGTCAATACGTGTATAAAAGCCTTCTACGGGCGAAGCGAAAAGCCTGGTTCGCGTGGCGACGATCGAAGAGTCAACCCGAATATGAAGTGTACCTTGAACTCAGGAATCGATGTAACATACGAGTCCGGAGCGATAGAAGGACATTTCAGGGAGACCTCGCCAATAAGCTTCTCGTGAACCCCAAAAGCCTATACAGGTTTATGGCCGAAAGAAAACCGACCAACCAGGGAGCATGCAATCTAGTGGGTTCTGATGGGAAATCTCTTACTAGTCTTGAAATGGCAGAGACATTCAGCCTAGCCTTTCACAGGCAACTAAATAGTAACGAGGATATTACCCCTACAGAACATCCAGATTACATCGCAAAACCAACACACGAAAACCTGCTGGGGACATTTCAAATTACCCCGGCTATGGTACTTGCAAAATTGGGAAGGTTGGCTTCGGGAAAGTCTCCAGGTTGTGATGGCATCAGACCATCTGTCCTGAAGCAGTGTTCAGAAAGTCTCTGTCAACCCCTAAGTGATCTGTTCCAACACTCCCTTGATGTAGGGAAACTTCCATGTGAATGGAAACGTGCAATCCTATCCCCTATCTTCAAGGGTGGTGACCGGCAGAATGTGACCAGTTACAGACCAGTTGCTCTACTTCCAGTGGTATCGAAGATATTGGAAAGTCTCATTGACGACCACATGAGAAAATACTTCGATGGGACTAACCTTCTTCACGAAGCACAGCACGGTTTCAGGAGGGGAAGATCCTGCGTGACGAATCTTCTACTAGCCTGGAACGATTGGACACTATCCTGGGACAAAAAGGTACCAGCCCACGTGATCTTTCTCGACTTTGCGAAAGCATTCGACACAGTTCACCATGGTCTGCTCCTTCACAAAATAGGCAAGGCGGGAGTTTCTGGAGCACTTCTCGCATGGCTGAAAGATTACTTAGGCGAGAGAGAATTCTGCACCAAAGTCAACCGCATCCGATCATCCTGGCACACCTCGGCATCAGGGGTTCCTCAGGGTTCTATCCTAGGGCCGTTGATGTTTTTGATTTTTATCAATGACCTGCCCCCCCAACTAAACTGCTCTGCGCTTCTTTACGCTGACGACGTAAAGATTTGGAGAGCAATAAACTCATCGGAAGACTCAGATAGATTGCAGGCTGACCTGCAAACTCTGGGAAATTGGGCTTTGGCTAACGGAATGCCTTTCAATCTAAAGAAGTGCAAAGTAGTGCAGCTTCATTCCGGCAGGTCACAGAGTGTAAATTACACCCTTGGTGGCCAGAACTTGAGTTGTGTTCCATCAGAGCGTGATCTAGGTCTTATTCTAACAGAAAAGCTAGACACCAGTGGAAATTACTCGAGGGACGTCGCCAAAGCCTACGCAACATTACACTTTATGCACAGGCAGCTGGGAGCTCTCACTCCCGAACTGTTCTTAAGGCTATACAAGGCATATGTGAGGCCACACCTTGAGGTGCATAATATCATTGCACCTCCGCTACTCAAAAGGGATGCTAACATTCTAGAAAGTGTCCAGAGACGAGCGACAAAATGGGTGATCGGCCTCCGCAACAAATCATATGAGGAAAGACTAAAGAAATTAGGTCTTTTCACACTTAGTTACCGTAGGCACAGGGGAGACCTCATCACCGTCTACAAGATCCTAAATGACCAGGCCCACCCAAATAAAAGCATCCTGCCATTAAGCGATTATAGGCTTCCACGAGGTAACCCGCTAAGGATAGCACACCAGAGACCAAAGACTCGAGTGCGATCACATTTCTTTTCGCTTCGTGTTTGCCGTCTCTGGAACGCTTTACCGGCGGCCGTGACTACAGCGCCATCTCTGGAGATTTTTAAGCGGAAGCTAGACAATCATGCAGAAATGCAAGGTTTGTGTCTCAATGGCTTATCCTCATAAAATTTGAAACCAAACTGTCAATGAATAAGCGTACTAACTAAATCCCCACGACCTATTCTGCCTTCTCTCACTCTATCTTTTCCTTAGGTCACCTTTATTATTCCACTTATCTCAACCTATATTATCTACACTACAACCTATTTTTATTATATTATTACTATTCTGCTTTTATGACTACACCGAATGACCAACGGGAGTTAGGTCAAACTCCATTCACGGCAGCAATACAGTCCTAACATACTGCATACTACAAACCACATCTCGACCAATCCCCGCACCACTCCTCCTGGAGTCTACCAGAGCTGAAGCAGTCGAGTGGCGGGACTTACTACGCAGAAGCTCACCGAAGATCTGAAACCTCTACTTCACAATCAAGAAGCGAGCTCAAAGAAATCACTGGTTTATACTAGCTCGTAATCAGGATATTGGTTATTGGACATTGGACATCTGAAGGCGTTATTTTGAAAATGATATTTGTGTTTTCGTGTCGGTTTCACAAATTAGATATGCAATTGGCTATAAATTACAACAGTCTCTTAGCAGTAATCATCATTCTACATTATTGTAGCTGTGTAACTGCCTGCAACCCTGATGGCGAAGAGCATTTAACTCTGATAAAATCGTTAGAGCGTAATTAGCAATTACAAATGACTTTGGTTTTCGACACAGAGAGTGGGTTTCTAAAGACACAAGCAGCTAAAATATCCATGGCAGGCGTAGACCGCGCTTGTTTTATAAATGAGGAGCCATACGAAAATAAGTCAAAATCAGTGAATGTCGGTCGCCATCCTAGCAGTGTTATATTCCCTGCTCCTTATATAGTGAGTTTAATACATTTTAATATAGAAGTCATCTGGATCATAAATATATCTTTTGGTGTTACTTTTTCAGTGAATATTATGCATGAAACCCATCTTTTTCAATTGATCGACATTTTTATTTAGTATTGCTACAATGCAAAATGTTCCGAATTTTCATTTCTGCTGTAGTATTCGTTAAATTGTGTTTTAATTGTTTGAATTTCTGGGTCTTAACATGCTTTGATATTTTTGAAATCAGTTTTAAGCTGACGGTATTACGGTTTTCAAAAAATTATAGTCAATAATTGAAATTTTGTTTAGCTAATTGTTCTAGCAGCTGTGGCTTAGAAAAGGTAATATAGTTTCTTATATTTATTTGAAATGAAGCACCATATACTCAAATAAAGAAATGCATTTTTCTGCATAATATTTCAAAGTTAATTTCTACTCGTAAATTATTCCGAGTCATCAGTCCTGAAGTGATAATAAAAAAGCAGTCTCAGCGACAGATCTCTTTTCATGTTAATCGAGTTCCATCTTTCACTTTTCCGTTAACAACATGAGAATCCATAAACACTGACCATTAGTCCCCCATTATGTCTGATAAATGAATATATACAAATTAGCCTTTTATGTCGTCCAATTAGTCTTTTGACAGAATAAATATCTTAGGTTTGTAAACTATAAAACCTTTTCCAGTGAACGAGTGATGTGATGATGAATTTCAGTCAAGGGCATCAGACATTGCTTCTTTTTTAATTGCATATGATTTAGTGGCTGTGCACGAATTAGTTCGATTCATTAGTCAAATTAGATCTATATAAACTTTTGCAGACCGGTACTTGTATGTGAGAGAATTTCTGTGTTTTAATCGTTACCCAATCCTTCCACAGTTAATGAGCCACACTGAGTAGTGAAAGTCATTGTTATTCACGGTATAAAATGACACCAGCACAAACATATCATGGTAAACTCTGTGATGTCACGTAACAATAGACTGTACCCAAATCACCCGTGCACACTTATGACACTTGGTTATGGCCACGTGAAAATTCTGCTCACTCGTCTGTGATGCTTTTCCTGACGCCTTCATTTATATTAACTGTGAATGATAATGACTTCCTGACATGCATAAATGCTTATATGTTTGTTTCTGTAATGCATGTAACTCAGTGAATATTTAATCCTTCGCGATAGATATTTTCGTAAAGTGTAGGTTTTCAAAAGTGACAATATGGGCCAACTTACTTGTATTGATATATATTTTATAAATCAAGAATGCTGAAACGTGGGATCTTAGGAAAGTTTAAATGACTTCGAGTTTTATAAGTTTACGGCTGACAGTTAGACAGTGCTTATCATTCAGTGTTTTGTATATTACCTATTTTGCGAAACTGTAAGATGAATGCATAAAAATCTCACAATTCGCTGTTCCTCATGTTTAGTCATTCTGTGTAAGTAGGCGATTTTGCTAGCTATGAAATGTAATCTCAGAGCTGAGTAATAATAATAAGATAGTTTTTATGCGAGCGATTACAAGGAGAATAGTGCTGTTTTCAATCTAGCACTGAACCACGTAGACGAATTCAGATTCTGTGAGGGTTTAATCTTTTTCCTGAGACAGTAGTTATACGAAATAAAATGTGGATTATACAGCTGCTAGGCTGAAGGAACTTATACAGTTTTCATTATCCAATAGTAAAAACATGACTAGTAGGGAATGAGTTTTCTCAAGCTTGTACAACCTCACCACGATTTATGCATGGTGTAAATTGGCTCCTACTGAAGTGCTGATAATAGTTGTCACTTGCCTAAGTTGGTTTTCGCAAAGAGTGACGACCAAATCGGAGATGTCATAGCTCTTTTTTATTGTTTTGCACCATCATGGAGCTAAATTTTTCCTGTGCACCTAAATTTTGATACGTGTGAAAAATATCTCTCATTTAATTTTCAATGGTTCAGCACGCAATGATTCTGGATGCACTAGGAGACGGTATCAAGAAGGCTTCACATGCTTTAGTTGTCGAGCAAGGAATCGGATATATGACGGCTTGTACAGTTCTCATGGTAAGTCAGCTAAACTTAATTCTGGTATTTCGTTTTTTAGTATATTGTATTTTCACTCTGTGAAGTCTCTTTAAGCCCTTAGTCATATCCCAAATCTAGCTCTGCTAACGGCATTATTCACCACTAAATATTCTCATTCACACTCTTTCAAAACTCTAAGCGTCAAAAATCGTAGGCCAATAATTTAGCTGACTGAAAGTTTTTCTGCCACCGTTCAAACGAATAGGCTTGTTTTAGTTATTTAAATACGATCTTTTTGAAATACCTGACCTATCTGAGCTAGATTAATAGACAAAATAATAATCAGAGTCTGGTCTGCGAAACCGCATCAGCTTATGACGTTGGAACATGTGCTACTGACGAATACCTACTATTTGCTGTATAACGTGTCTTCCTGGAAGTCAAGGTTTTTCCACAGCTTTTATCACAAGTGTGTCTATTTATATTCTATTTTTGGATTATCGTTAGGAGAGTTGAAGTCAATGAACGAAAATGGCGTAAAATTAAGTGCATTATGTCTTTCTGTCATACGAATCCAGAGATAACAGTGTAGCTCAGAAGACAAGGGCCAGGTAACGGATCGTTTATTGAGAAAATCAAGAGATATTTATATATTTTTACTTACATTATTATTAGTAATTATTAACAGAGAAACAGCGTCTACTGATTGGTTGTTTTCTCACTGAAAGTTGATCTGCCATATCTTTGTGGCCGTTTCTTTGGAACTCAGACGATATATATCGTATCCGCCACGCAAAATCTGCTGTGATTGGTTGTTGAGTTAGTCTTTGTTCTTGTTATTTTCTCATGACCAAGATTTGGGACATAAAAACTCACGTAAAATGCTGTCTATCAATTTTGGCTAGCAGACAGCTCTCACCACAACAGTATCATTAAAGTTACAATCGAACATTCGATAACAACTCATCTAACAACATTCAGCTTTGCAAAATTATCCAGCCCTATACAAACTGCCAGTCTTAAGTGCAAAATACAAAATCCTACTCACAAGGTAGCTATTGAACGCAGAATAAGTGTGACAAATACTATGGCGTTTGAATTCCTAAATCCACAATGAACATGAAAAGGTATGTGTCATTAGTGAAATGTGAACTGTACTCATAGTAAGGTAAAGTGTATGTCGCTAAGTACATTCAAAATGGTGAACTAGATTTTTCTGCCAATGAACACGTTTAGTCAGCCAGTAACTTCCTGGTCCTAATGAAACTTCGCAACTGAGTACAGTGGTAGATTCACCTAACAAGTGTATTGTCCGCAGTCAGGGGGATTTCGGTTCTGACTATTCTGAGTACGTACTAGTGAAAGTTATGAGACGAGAGTGTTCAGAAAACTATAAATCTCAGTCGCAGAAATACCTGAAGTATATAATAAGTAAACATGAGGTTTTGTCCATATCTTTAGTACACAAACATAATTTTCCACTCAGATGACCATTACAATGATGCTGTTTGCTCGCTATATTTCAAACTAGTCTGCTGTTTCATACAGTTTTTGTTTTCATCTCTTAAAGACAGGTAGAGATGGTGTCACTGTATCCGCTCAACCCACTGGTGATTTATTTTCAAATGCTTCATTGAATTTCAAAAAATGGTTACAGCATAGCAAACGGACTTATACATATGGCATAGAAGTAGGGCGTCAAATTGGGTTTGTAACCTACGATAATCATGAAGCAAAATTTTCAAATGCAAAATACAATGCTATCTTTGTTCGTGAAGAGCGTGAAAGTGATGTGGACAGGGTAAGTACGTGTACATTATTACACCTGCAAACTTTACAAAACTTAACCATATATTGGCAGTTCTGTCTAATGTTCTGACACAAACTAACGCGGAAGAAAAAAGATGATGTTACTAATTACATAGATAAAACTGGCATCATTATTTAATCAGCTGGCTTCTCATCAGCTGCCTTCAACGCAAAGAAATTATTAAATTCATATGCAGAACAATTCTAACACTGCTCAGAAATTAAACTGATATAGCCAATACTCAGAAAGTTCAAGTTTAAACAACAGCAAACAAATAAATAAATGTTTGGATACATTGGCAAAAGAGTTATGTGATAAAGACAAGAGGCCAATAAGATGGTGAGGTACCATTAAACTGAGTGACAATTTGGCGAGTCCAACTCAAATCGTAGAAGTAAGAGAAGTTGTAACGAAAAAGGAGAGGTCAGAGACAAAGCTTACATAATCAAATAGAAAAGATGGTAAAGGTATCCAGTCATCTGGATAGGGGAAGGTAGATTATTAATGCCTCTTTCTGGACACATAAATCGGATTTCATGTGTTTTATGATGGTTGCCTCAGCAAATTTTTGGGAGAATTTAACCATTCTGTTTACTAACAATTTTAAAGAATTTCATTATATCCATCTCATGTAAGTGTTTAAGCCCTTGAGGCATAGACTATTTCGTAAATGTTCAGAATATCGAAGGTGTGCCTTCCGTTCCTTTTCGCCAGTGTAAGTTGTGGAGCAGATATATGTTAATTTGTTAACACTGTTAGATCTTTGATTGCCCTGCAAATCATGCTGTCTAATAAATAGGAACCAACTTAGCTGCAGGATAGTTTCTAGCTGGTGAGATAAGAAGTCTTCTGTAATATTCTTGGAGTACTCTTATCTTTAAAATAGAGTAATATGAAGATAGGCTTCTTTTCCATTGTTGTTTGTTTGGTACTTAAAAATTAACACTTGCAGTACTTATTAATCAATTTCTGTGAGTAACCATTGTCTTTCAAAATACTTTCAAGATTTAGAAGTTCTTCCTCTAATTTTTGTGTAGAACATATTCTCCTGGCTCTATAAAATAAGATTCTAACCAGTGTTGGCTTATAGCTATTTCAACAGAAACTATTAAAATGTAAGGATTGTCACTTCCACGCAAGCTTTCAATGAGAGAAGCTGGTTTGGACCTTAGCATCTGAATTATAAATTTTCTCACTTTCCAACTGAATAATACAGGTTCTAATCGTGGCAAAGAAATTGATTTTATCAAGATCATAGAGACGTTTTAAACGCCATTAAATATGAAACCTCTATCGAGAGTTTCTACTTCAATGACTCCTTCTTACTTGAACGTTGTGTGTCACAATAAAATTATTGGCGACGTATTTAAAAATGTGCAGGTGTATGTTTGAGACTCAAGAAGTATCATTTGTGAAGTAATGAGTAAACTTTGTTCTATTTCAAAGGACAAATTAATATAGAATCGGGTACTCCCATGTCTTGCCAGATATATATAGGAGGGCTCATAGATCTCTGCAAGTAAGGGTTTCAGAGCATATTCCTAAATGGCTTCAGAAACAAATAGAATCTTCATAATCCATTTATGGTGAGAACAGGAGACCCAGCTCCTCTGTTGCGAAACGTATTATAGAGACAGGACATAAAATTGACGTTAACACATCCTTTAAACCCATCTATAAAACGTGTTTGGGGCGTATGCTGAAGTTTGTGTAAGCCCTAGCAATTAGAAAGTTTAAACCACCTTAACGCGTTTGTCATCACACTAAACCTTACTTAGTAAACTTTGTTTTGATACCATAGCAGATGTACGATTACTTCTGTTATTTGGTTTAGTGGTCTTCATTGTTATTTTGACCTTCAATATGCCATTTTAACCTGACCTAATTCTATTAATTTCATATATATTTCTATGACAAGTCCGTGTGTGATCAGATTGTTCGAAATGTGTTTCGCAAATGCATTACACGATTCAGACAAATTGCGTCTTCTTATTGCTTTATCTGAATTCATGAAGGCAACTAACTGTTATAAGTGCACTCATTAGTTTATCAGAAAGGTATTCAGTGTCAACTGACTCGAGGGACTAAAGGACATCGTGAGCATTCCGTCCTAGACTGATTACATCTTTTATTTAAGTGTAGTGAATCAATAGGCAATACAGAGGGCAGAAAATTTGGTTCCAATTGTATACATTCCTGCTTTTTCATTGATGCACATCACATGATTGTTTAAATTCTCGGAATATGTCGAAGAATTTAAACTTCGGCTGATACTCATTAAAAGGACAGAAAGCTATTTATTTCCAAAGGAATGGAACCCCAATTTGACTGAGTAAATATTCTTTACCGATTAGGTCATCAGGATCAATGGACGCTTAATAATGTTTATATCAAATGAAACCTGTAGTATTCTAATTTTAGACATTTACGTTTGTAACATGATTGACACGGTTCTTCAGGTGAGGTTTCCTTAATTAGGAAGCAATTATATCTTATATGGCGTCAGACTAGCGATCCATCAACTCAATCCCTATTTTCGTATCACAAGAATGTTTGTTCGGTCGCTCATGCTCCTGTTTTCTTTAACTTCTTGTTACACGTTTGCGTCTGCTTCTAGTAAGTAATTGACAATGATCACTCTGTGCATGTTCATCTGACACAATTTGCTAGTCATATTTCCGTTCTCATCATCACACCTGTTAAATGTGCGCTCAGATAACTCGTTTCTCATTTCTAAACACTTCATGTAAGCTAATTTCAAAGCTTTACCCCCACTGTATCGTTGGTTATATGATGTAATTGCTTCCTGATGGAGGGAACCTCTTCTGAGTGACCGTATCAATTATGTTACGATGGTAACTGTTTAGAACTGGAATACTGTAGGTTTCAGTAGATATAAATATTGTTAAATGGCCATTAAATATGACTTCGTTGAATCACAGATAACATTTTGTCTTTGCTGTTTTTATAACTTTATGCTATATCTAATCTGTGAATCTGTTTCGCTTACATTCTTAACTATTGTCAGTTACTAAAGATTCCCTTACAACCAAATTATTACAATTTCAGTCCTGTGTTTCCTTTCTTATCACCTGACATAGTGGATAAAGCACCTCAAAACAGGCGGTCGTATGGTTTGCTTAGTAGGACCTACTGAAGGCGAACAGGAATTGTATCAATTGGACCTGCTGACTGATTTCCTACAAAAGAAGATTTTGATGACCTTCAAAAACTTCGTACCAATAGCTACTCGACCAAAAGAAGAAGTTGTTATAAAACCGAGGTAAGGTGTTTGCCCGCTCCCAATTGTATGCTTCTTTTTCACACATCAAGGCGACTAGGATCTTATTCCTTGTTGAACGATCAGGTTGTTTAAACTTTGATTCATTACAAATAAGAAGAGTGAAAGTCATGATTCATGCACATACACATGCTTAACTGAAATGTAGAAGATGTGAATTTATGTCAGTTACAAATATTTGTCTGATACACGTAGGATAAACCGATGAAAAGTTGAATATAATAAAGGAATGAAGGAAACCACATCATTTAATCATAACGTAAAATCAATCAGAACTTTTGATGCATCTAAGAAACTTTAACAACTCACAGATTACATCCGGAAATGTGACGAATGTGAGGAAACATTTTTTAATCAAACAGTTTGATTACACACATCTACTTGGCCATCTCCACTTATATGAAAAGGGAAAATAAATGGAAGGCATTTTACCTACAGAAAAAGCTATTGAGATTTACAACTAATGACAGCCAAACAGAAATGTTCAAAACTGACTCATACAACCAGTTACGTTATTTTGACCAACTTTATATTACTGCGAACAATTAACTATTTGTCTTACATGATTCGAAAAAGAATCCGATACCTTGATGAAATAAACCAAAACTGAACATCTTTCACAATTCTTTCCATTCAGGTTAGCAATGAAGTTCATTCTAAATTGAGCTAAGACGTCAATCTCACTTATCGTTGTTCTTACTCTTTTTTGTTTACAGCATACCTCAGTAAGATATATTTTCAAACGAAATTGTGTGCTTTCTTTTTCACTTCAAAGGACCTTAGTATATGTTCCTAGTTAGACAACTAGGTTGCTTAAACATGCCTTCATCAAGTCGAAGAATAGACAGTATGGCTAGTGCAAGTATTTGTGCCTATCTAAAATGTAGAGAATGCTATTTCATGCAAGATAGTAACACCGGTAATCGAGAAAAGCGAAAGAGATGGGAAAGGTTTCAGGGGAAGGTAACACAAGACAACTATTCAAGATTGTTATGGAAACGGGCTCTAAAAGACTAATGATAGGTGAAACAATCCACGATAAAAGCTACGCCTTAGCTAGCTATTAGTGGAGAAAACCGAACGTTAGAGATAAAACATCGTAAAGCAATTTAACTAGCCTAAATCCAAACTCAAATTGCCCACCATCCAATACATACCTAAATAGAATGTTGATACCAGTCCTCCAAATCTATCTCAGGTTACAACAGCTGTTTGTCATCTGAAAAGATTCAGAGAAAAGGGACCTGGTGAGACGACGCCAGAAGTATTTAAGAACGGTGCTAAAAACAATAGTCTGAGAAGATATTCTACTATTCAAGGCATTCCACCTCGAACTGGCGAAACCGCATACCAGCTTACCGAGTGGTGTGATCACAAATGTTGACAAAGAGTGGTGTCTATCAGCGATGCCCATTATCCCCACTTTTGTTTAATTTCAATATAGATATACCAAACGAATTGACCCCAACACATATTAGCAGCTAAAGGATTAACTTATTGCCAGAAATATGTCTCGTTGACTTATAGTATGCAGGTTATATCTTCCTCTCAGATGATGACACTGACAATGTCCAGAGTCTTCTCAACACCTTAAGCAGCAATCTCCGAGTGTCTGGCATGCGTTTTGCTCCTGTGAAATGTAAGATGATGCTGCAGTTTAAAGATAGGGGGTAAAATGGTAGAACTACATGTTCATTTATCTGAGATATTGCATCAGTCTCAGCAGACTGGTTGCTGACGAACTCTCAGCACGGATATGAAACACGCGTGTGGCTTTTGTCAATCTTCGTCATTTCTGCAGCCTGTGCATTGCGCAACAGCTCGCTCCGTCCTACTTCACGGCCGCAATACATGGTCTTTGAAAAAGAAGGATATGAAAAGGCTGGTAGCCTTTGTCCACAGATATTTGCTTCCTATCACCAGTGTTAAGTGGTAAAATGTGGTGAATAATACTCCGGTTAGGTGTAAGGGGAAGTTGAGTAGCTGCATCGATTGAGATGCCTAGAACAAGTGCTGCGCATACGCAGAAACTCCCTTTCTTGTCGAGTAATGTCACGTGATACTCGTTTGAGAAAGAGCTAGGAATCATCATACCGAAACCAAGCTGCAATCTATGAATTCTTCGATAGTCCATTTAAGCCATCCGGAGTGATGAAGACTGACTGCTTGGAGACCTTGGGATGCTAAGAACAAATAACAGAAGACTGTTAGTGATACTGCCGAGAATCATTCCTGTTTACGTATGTGCATTCCTTTCTTTGTGAACACCCACACGAATACACAATCATCTATTTCAAAGTAACCATATATCCTCCTGCATATTTATGCATGTTCTACGAACTCTGAATTCTTCTCCTCTTTTCTTCGTTATCTTCATGTGTTACATATTGTTTAACAACATGAACTTCTATTATACTGTGTTATGTTCTATGTCGAAATTTAATCAGTGAAACATTATCTTAGGGAAAACTTCCCGAGGCACAGAAATGATCCAAAATGAATTTAAACTCCTGAACATAGCAAACTATTACCACTCAAAATTTACTAATTTCAGATTAATCAGCATGTAACATTTTGTGGCAAATTCAATTATCCAGTTCATGAAAAGGAAATAAACGAAACCATAAAGTGGCGACAAAAGAAGTCAGAATTTCGGATTACCCAAGATTTCTTCCTGTTGTGCATTTAAAATAGGTGGAAACAAGCAACAGTTAACATTTACACACTACGGCAATAGAAAATGTCAGTCATCACAATTGTCTCAAATATCTCATCAGTTTGCGGAATTCCTCTTGATTCCCTAATTATCAAACAACTGATCTTGATAACTTTATCGGTAATTATTCCTTATTCAAATCAAAATAATGTCAACCAATTATGCGACCATCAAATGAAAAGTGTTAGTCAGTGGAGAAGGATTAGATTGAATGACAATAGACTTATGATCCTCATACACTCCAATGGATATTTTCATCAAATATGGAAATATCAGTCTCCTAGTGCAAGTAATCTAAAACTTGTAATGGTTTTACACTTGTTTGTCTTTGGTTTCTGAAGACGTGATTCATTTTCAATCAACAGTATGACGCCAGATCCACTTATCATTTTCTTACCGCTATGTTTATTTATTTACAGAGAACCTATGTAAGATTTTTCCCCATACTCTATCATATGTATTTTTCATACACTTCAAGGAAGCTTAGAATGTTTCACTCGTTAGGCGATTAGATTGTTTAACCTATCATTTGTAAAAGAAGAGAGGACCTCATGATTTATGCTTCGATTTACCCTTAATTGAAGTCTAGGGAGAGTGTAGTGTAAGACGGACAGACAAAGAGTGCAATCCTATGGTAAATCATGTCACTTCATCAATGTTTGGGACCAGTTACCTCCTTCAATACATATGGATAGCGTTAATGAAGTACACATTATATATGAAAATGTGATAAATGTGAGGAACCAATGTCTAGAAAAGTCTCATTACGCACGTCTATTTGTCAGTTTCCATTTCTACAGAAATGAAAATCAATGGAAGGTATTTCGCCTGTTTACATCGAAAGCTACCTATGACAGCCAAGCCAATGTTTTCAGGATGAGGTCATACAGCGAAATACGTTACTATCTTCACATTACGGGAAACAACTACACACTTACTTTACATTAATACGAGTAGAAAGTTTCAGCATTGTGAAATCGATCAAATAAATTATAATTATATTTCAGTAGTTTCCTTGACAGAAGGCAAGGTCGTAGACCATTGAGAGATTGGCATCCGATCTAATAGCCTATGAATTCTGACCTCTGACAATCAAATTAGACATTGAAAAATGGTCGCGCTATGTCGTGAATTGGCAGAAGTTACAACTCATGGGCCATTGGATTGGGTCCCATTGGGTCAACGGTCTACGAGCTGGTCTTGTAAGCGGAAAGTATTGGGTTCGAACCCTGTCAGAGGGTGCGTATTGATGAAGAGTCTGAAGCGAGGACTATACAGGTGTGAGAACTGCAAGTTTTCAAGCGGTTCTCTGACTGATGTCAGCTCATTATGAAGTCCTCCAGCCAGTTAAATTTATTTTGAAGTCAGCATATGATATCTGTCTCATTTATCTTTCTTTGTTGATACTGTTATTTGTTTACAGCTTACCTGAGTAAGATCTTTTTCCACACAGAATCGTATAACTTTCGTCTTGCTTTAAAGCAGTTAAATATCTGATCTCGGTTGAAGGATTTGGTTGTTTTAATATTCCTTTATTAAGCCAACGATTTAACACCATCTTTATTGCCTATATTATGCACACATATGTACTATATGAGAAAAAAGTGTGAACTATTAGATTTTGTCACGGAAGATACTTGTGATGACAGCAGGCTAGCGAAAAATTGTAGACAGCATTTTACTTCAATGCGTATGTCCCAAACATTGGTGGTGAGAAAATATGAACAAGACTGATTGAAGGACCAATCACAGCAGATTTGGCGTAGGCAGATACAATTAACATTAAGGTGATCTGACATTCAAGAAACAGTCACAAAGAGATGCAAAGTCAACTTTCTGTAAAAAAAACAACCAATCAGAAGATTTTGTTTGTTTGCTTGAATAAGCTATAATAATGTACATGAAATATAGATAAATACGTGTTGATTTCCTTGATAAACGATCTGTTGCCTGACTCTTGTATTTTACCGTTAGATACTCAATGAAAAATCACTGAAAATTAAGAAGCACGGGAAATATGTTTCCTTTCAGTTCAGCAGTAGAAAGGCATCCGCCATCAGAGAAAAAACAAATCTGTGATCTTCAGCTAGTAAATACCCCCTATTTATTATTTATTAGTAAAATAGAACATAAGCTGAATAATATAGTATAAGATGATGCATTGGATTCGCACATACATGAATGCATATATAAGATATATAATTTCTGTTATTATTGTTATTTGTGATGGGCGCTTTTAGGGTTGAGCGTTCACACTACCTGGTTGTGGCTCTATATGACTTCATAACATACTAAGCAAGAAAAGACTAGGAAGCCTGTTTAATATATTGATTATGCGTTTGTTCTGAGGATTCAGATTAACTTCAATGTGGATAGCGTGGTGGGTATGAACGACTAAACAGACGAGACCTACATCGAACCTGCTGCCCAGTGACCTGAAGTAAGTTAGTTGGTGACGAAATGTAACAATTAAAATCAATCCAGATCAATTAAAATCTTGTACTCTGAATGAAATTGTTGTTGAATATGTGTGAGATAAGGAGAAAACTAACTGTAGTATAATAAAGACTCAACATGTGAAAATAATATTATTGAGATATTTCCTCTTAATTTCAATCTCCAGTCACCAAATATCGCATAAACCAAACCATAAAATGGAGACCACAGGAATCAGAAATCCGCATTCATCTGTATCATTTGTAATGCTCACTGACATACAAACATAATTGTGTGAATGAAAATGTCACTCACCACAATTATCTTCAATCGCTCATTGGTTGGCTTGAATCGACTGAATTTTGGCTTCTATACAGTCGGTGGTGATATTTCCATCAGTGATTTGTTCTTACGTCTACTCATCATGCCCATCATGCAAAATTTAGCCGATGATGAAAGGTGTTAGTTGGCTGATGATTCTTTTTTAAAGAGGTTAGATCTGTGATCATCTTACCTTCTGTTGATAAAATAAACTCAGTCGTCTAATGCTTATACACTAATCCGTATTTGATTCTTCAAATGTACTTGATTTTAAACCAACAATACGCTGTCAATCTCACTTACTGCTATTCATTCTGTTATTTGTTTACAGAGAACCTGGGTACGAATTTTCTCACTACACAATTGTGTGCTTTTTTCTCTACTTCGAAGCAACTCGGCTTTCAATTTTTCGTTAAGGCTTATAAACCATTCGGTTGTTAGAGTTATCATTCACGGGTAAATTGATCTAACATATTCTTTGCATGGATGTATGCTCAGTTGAAATGTGGAAGATGTGACAGCATGTGAGAAAGAAATATTTGCTGAATGTGTGTTAGATTAGGAGAAATCTCATTGTTTAATGATGAAGACATGGAAAAGATCCACAACATATTGTCGAAAATTCAGAACACTTGGTCACTTCAGAAAATTCAGATAGCCTTAGTAAAGGGTAGACCATATCTGAACACTGTTTTGCATTTTCGTGAAACACTTTTCAATAGTCTTTTCAAACTAACGTATCTGAATATCCTCGTCTAATGTCTTATTTTAATCATTCGCATTCCCAGTGGAACTTATGGTTTGAAGCTTGAAGCTTTGTGAGTCGGTGGCACAGTGGTTAGGACTCTCACCGACCTATGCGCATTTTCCCAGGTTCGATCCCCTACCGACGCATACCTGATATCTATGGTCGGCCTGCAAAATTTGGGCTACCGATATCCATGCTGAAAATTCCATACTTGTACCTAAAATCGAGTGTGGAATCAAACTGTAAATCAAAAATCGAAAATAAGTTTCAGTAGCTATGGTGCTTTTTCTCAGGAGGTGGCGTTGCTAGCCCCTATGCCCAACCTTCTCGCTTCACCGGGATTATTACGGGTGAGGCGAAGCTAAGGAGCGAGCCATACGAGGAGCAAATAGCAGACAACGTGTGTGGTCACTGAGTATTCCAGCACCGAATCACCGACACTCATAATGATACAGGATATTCTTTCTTCAGTGATCACTCTTTGATATTTCCGTTTGAATGAAAATGGGAAGGAATGGAAGGCATCCGGTCTTCAACAAAAGCTGTTGACATTTGGCTTTGATGACTGAACCAATAATCTCAGGATGGGATTGTACAGTCACACTTACTTTACCTTGACTGACTTTATGTGACTACAAGCAGCTAACCAACCGCCTTACATGGCTTGAGGAAATATCTGTCTCCTTCGGAAAAATAAACAAAACTCAGTATTCATTTACACATCACACTATATGAAATTTCTGATGGAATTCTTGTAAAATTGAGCATACGACTTCAAAAGCAGTCGTCATTCTG